AACTGTGAGTTACTATAATATCTTCTTAATTGTATAGTTTCAAAGAACATATGATAGGGTACCTTTACGCACTGTATACACGGAGCCCCTTTATGTTGTTCAAATAATCAAAATTTAAAGTTAATATTTTATACAAAAAAATCTAGAAATATTAAGTTTGTAATATGTTTATGAGAGAAAAACTTTTGGAGACATTTTATACTATAATTTTTACTGGTTTTTTGACTAAAGTAAGGACTGTTTTCTTAAATCGATGTATCAAAAATACAAAGCAACTGTCAGATAATACCAGATTAAATCAAAATCCCTCTCCCAATAACTGTAAACAGTATGTATCATAGTTCAATTAAATAAATTTATTGTGAAAATGAGTTTATTGGTCTTTTTCCTACCCAAAGATCCTGTATATGTCAGAGACGGTCTCAATTTCCAGAAACAGTGGGAGAGACTTCACCTTCAAGGGTTAAATTTACACAAACGCTTGCTATTTGTATTTACTGATTGTAGCATTGTGCCCCCATCAGTATTAGAAAGCTAAATAAAAAATCATCGGCCATTAGCAAGCTCTTTAACAGTCACGAAGTCTTGAATTTTGCTGTATACAGGGTATTACTAGAATATCTGCTCTAAATTCGGGGGTGATTCCTCGAGAGAATTTAAAATTTATACACCTTATGTTCATACACTGTGTCCTGGGAGTCGGAACTTTTTTTTTCAGGAACTACATTTGCATTTAGGCAGCTAATATGCGACAAAATAGCAGCGCGAACGTAAAAAATAAATTGAAGAAATGTTACTCAATCATTTGATAAGGAATTTGAAGTACTGCGCTACCGCATGATTTTTTATCGTAAATATTGCTTGAAGCTGTCAGCGTTCGTTTCAAAAATAGACGTTTGTCAACTTCTTAAATCTGCAACACATGGGACTGTCCTGAGCTTCTACTGTGTCCACCTCGATGGCCCTTTGCACAATATAAATAAACCTACGCAGCCCCGGATGGGGAATACACTCAGGAAGTATCAATAGTATCTTGAAGATCTTCACGGTAAACCAAAATGAAATCTATACCTGGCAATTGCTTGCAGAATGTGCTAATCTCGAATTTTTTAAATTTGATTTGTAGATGGGTTAAACGACACACCACGTGATGCTTGATATAAACATTGATGCGCGTTGTACCTTTTCACGTTGAATGTTCGGTCGGGCTGAGCCATTCAGATTCTCCGGCACGTAATATCTCGGTTATCTTATGGTTTTGGTATTATACTATTATATATGACTTTGAAGTTGAGTCATTAATTTTCAGATAATGATTGTAGAAGGAAGATAAACCAAAATATGTGTGTAAAAATAAAAAAAAAAATAAAAAAAATGTTACCTTGTTTTATAAAGTATCCTCCCGACAAGTATTTCAGTGCGGACCTGTATTTGATCGTGCGGACTTGGAGCACCGGCATGCCCTCCCCTGTGAGGTCTTAAGTCACCTGATTCACGAGCCCTTTGTACTACATTCAGCATTTTCGTAAACATGTGCCATTTTTTATTCACTATTCACTCACGCGTTACCGACTGACACATCGACTGAATACAACTGAATAAGATTGTACATTGTAGTAAAAACATCGTTTCAAATTCTTTCGCTTTTTTGTTTCCGATGCGATGAACGGATAAGGCGGATTATATCCGTTGTTGCCAAACACGAGCACATAATATTATTATTGAGACAGGGCGGTACTCAAACTTCTAAAGGGCTATAACTTTGTTACTTTAATTTTACCAGAAAAATGTTAAAGGAAAAAAACATTTCTTTTGATCGGATCTACTCACTGTTAAAATAAATGACTCAACTTCGAAGTCACCCTGTATGTGTTACTAGGAAAGTTGTTTATTGTTACATGAACATGGGCTGCGTCACAACTTCAAGGACACCATGTATAATCATGACTCTACATCAGTGGTCGCCAACCGTCGATTGAGAGCTCCCGGTAGCTCGCAAAGGCAATTCTGGTGGCTCACAACATATTTTAAAAAGGTGTTAAAACATTGCGGTGAGCGATCTGTTCGAGAACAATCTCGATTACTTTGAACGGAATAAATACGCAAGGCGTGGCGACGGTGCGCTCAGTTTCAAACTGAATGGCACAAAGTCCAGCGGTTGGGTTAGAGTTGGCATGCTATTAAAAACGTTATGAGCAAAAGTAAGAAGATGAAAACATACCATTTCCATTCGGAATGGGAAGAACAATATTTCTTTACAGAAGTTAAAGGTAACAATATATACGAACGTAAACAACAATTAGCAACATCCTCACATACTACTGTAAGTTAATTTAAATTCATTTTACAGTATTGTTGCTACTGTTATCAATGTAATTGCAGCTCCTGATGATGATGGCAAAAACCATTGAAAGCTAGAGAGAATAAAAAAAGTATAAAGAGTCCTCCTTGCTTAAATTTTGTCGAAGTACCCAACAAAAGGCGGAAGCTTTAATTTTTCACCTAACTGGTCTAGACGACAATGACCACGTCTCAAGTCATATATATATGTTATGTAATACATCTGTTTCCGTTGCTAAAAAAGGAAATATCCAGAGGCACTATAAACTGTATATTTGAATTTTGAAACAATCATTCCCATTACGTTCTGCAACGGAAAACTTAAAACAATTAAAAAATCAGTTATTTGGACAACAGAAAATGTTTTTAAAAACAAATGAAGCATCATATCGGGTGTCCCAGATAATTACACAAAAGAAGAAACCTTATGAAGGCGTTTTTAGAAGCTGCAGATTCGTTATTTTCCAACTTTAGAAATAAAGGCGACATAGTATCTTCTATAAAATCTATGCAATTTTCTGCTAATACAGACGAGTAGAAGTAATGAGCAATGATATAGTTTTACAGTTAAGAAATGACTTCGATAATTGTGCTTATTTTTCCCTGCAGCTGGATGAATCCACAGATGTCGTTGACACCTCTCATATAGCCGTGTTTGTCAGGATGGCTTTTAGTGATTTTACGATTAAAGAAGACCATTTGGAGTCTATTCCACTAAAAGGACAGACTACTGGACAGGACTTTTCTTCTTTTAGAAATATCATTTCTTTGAGAAAATTCGAATATCGAAAATGGTAGGCTTGACAACCGATGGCGCTTCAGCTATATCCTATTTCACGAGTATCCATAACGGTAGAATGACAACTGATTATCTAGTAATATTTCAAAATTCTCGATATCGGCAAAGGACATACAATTCTAACGGATCCGTCATTGCCAGGTAGACAGAGCTATATGGTTTTGGTTTTTTGTACGTTTCAGATTCATTTTGTAATTGGTAAAAGCTCTTTTATTTAGAAAAGTTCATTTGTATACAAAAACAAACCAGTTTTACTAGACCCGATTCATTATTGCCAACATCGCAGACTAACACAAAAATCTCGCTTGCTGATCAGCTGTTCAGCTCAGTAGACGTCAAAGCGTGATGAATACTCGTGATAAGGGTCTGTCTCGTGGGGATATGTAAAGATGAAAGTTTTCTCTGTTACCACTGCATTATCCAGCAACAAGCATTATGTGGACATTTTCTAAAACTAAGCAACGTTATGAAATTGGTAGTAAAAATTGTGAACAAGATTAGAGCGCAGGCGTTACAAAGAAGATTATTCAAAGCCGATGAAATTGACTGTCAATACGGGGAACTACTTCTTCACTCTGAAGTCCGATGATTAAGTATGGGACGAATGCTGAAACGTTTTAATGATATCATATCTACCATGGAAAATTCAATCTGGCTTAGAGATTTTGGTTTTCTTGTGGATAAAACAGAAAAATTAAATGAACTTAATTTGCAGCTTCAGGGGAGAGACAAAGAACTAGGGGAAATGATTTCTGATATAAAAGCGTTTATCAAACAGCTTGAATTTTGGGAACAAGACCCAATCGATGTCGATACTAGGCATTTTTCTGTTCCTTCAGAAAATATATCTCAAAGTCCGTTAGAACCATATGACAGTAAATATCATGTAGAAATAGTCTCTTGGAAGGATAACTTCAAAAATCGTTTCAAGGATTTCAGCGCAATTTGTTGTTTCACCCTTCATGGAAATTGATGTCAAACAGTTTGCAACTTCAGTTACACAGAATATTAACGAAAACATCGCTGCGACAGAAGTGGAAGTGATTGCGTTTCAAAATGACTTAGCTTTAAACTCATTAGTCTCAAATACAAAATGTATCTGGCCTTCGGTAGGTAAATATTCAGTTTTATGTCATGTTGCCTTGAAAGTGAAAGCGTTATTTAGTTCAACTTATTTGTGTGAATCTTCTTTTTCGTGCGTTGCTTTTTTATTTGTAGTTACCTTATTACCTTATTAAATCATATGTGACTACCATTGTAGCTGACGAAAATTATTATTTATATTTCAAACACCTACGATTGGTAGGAATGGATGTAGTTATGTAGTATGTATTAGCTATTAGTTTATTTAAGGTTATTAGTATGTATTAGTATTAGCAAAATAAGCTCATGTATGTCGCATACAACTGTGTAAAATTTCATGGCTTTCATTGCTTACGACTAGGTAGCTCACTGTTTATTCAAAAATTATCAAAGTAGCTCAACACAATGAACAGGTTGGCGACCACTGCTCTACATTATAGAATATGTAAACTTTTTCAAATATCGATTTTCCGTAAAAATCTCAATAATTTCTCAAACGGAAAGCGGATTTTCGGTGAAAATTTCTCATTGTGTAACTGCTCTTTTTAGAATACCCCTCCCCACCAGAACTCACCCCTTGAAGTTGGGACAACACCTTGTATATAAAAATGTGTGAAATGTGAAAAAACATCTTTTATTGCGACTTTCCATCTATTAGCAAATTTTGAGGAACATCGTTTCCATTTCAGTCCTGCTGGTACGCTATCTGAACGCACCCCGTAAAGGCCGAGACACACGAAATGTAAGATTTCTTAGTTCTGTGTTCCGTGATCCCTGATTTGTTTTTGTTTTGACTTTTAACATTTCACTCAAAAACGTAACCTATTAGTTGTTTGTAATATTCATCCTTGATATATATGGTAAAAATAAGATAAAAAATGAGTGACAATTTATCATATGTGCAGATTTCCTCATCCGTGAACCCTAGTTTTTGGAATAAACTTTCGGAGCTGAAATTGAACGTTTACAAATTAGACGAATCCAAGCATAGCATATGGGGCTACCACACCATTATAAACTCCACAAGTTGTCCCATAACACTTATGGAGGTAGATAGCACATCATTCAATAGGTAATTCTTCTTCGTCAGAGCTTTAATGTAGTTTTCATTTATTAGTTCACTGATGGTACACAAGAATGTTGTCCAAATTATGTACACATGCAATGGAACTTCTGGTGGCTGCATTCATCTCTTATGATGGTATTACAGCATATATACATTTTGGCTATATCAGTTATATCTTAGCAGTATTGTCTACAATGTGTAGACACATACACTTGTCAGAATTTCCCATCCAAGGGAAAAAATTAGGCAAGAATCATTGATGAAACTGTATATATATTGTAATTGTACCTACTTACACTATACTTACATTGCCCTAAGGGACAGCTACATAGATACAACTGAAATGCTGATTGGTGACTAGGCAATTTGAGGTTAGAAATAATTTGAATTTCAAGCATAGGTATGTAACAGAAAAGTCAGAGCTGTATTCTCATGCATTGTTTTGGAGCAGTTCGGGAGTGTATCACTCTCAAACCAAAAACCACTGGAATGCAGCTCTGAAATTCAAATTTTTTCCAACCTCAAATTGCTTATTTGACCAATCAGTGTCGTCAGCTGCGACTGCAGCTATATAATGAAGTGAAAATATTACCTGTTTAGAAGTACCACTACACTACTCATCTAAGTAATTATGGATGCATAGTCACTCAGTAGGACTTATTTTATCATCTAGTAGACTATACAATTAACCACAGCTCATTGTGAGTTAATGGTGAACAATTTTCTATTTTCTCTCAGTCTAGTATCTGGGCAACCTGACTTGACACTTCTGTCTATTTACATAACTTAAACTAAGAGTAAGAGAAAAACAACCTGGGCACCAAGAATGGAATTGTTTCATATTTTTATTTTTTTATTTTAGAGAATTCACTGCACATAATCAGTACCTGCCATTCCATGGTTGGATCCTCAATACAAATACTATAGAACAGTTCAAAGAGTGTGATAAAGTGGAACTTATAAACAGTGAAGGTCACAAACTATATCAACATATAATAAATGAGGATGTATTCAAAGATACCTCATTACTCAACAGATTTTTTATATTATCTTTTGCAGTAAGTATACAATAACCAAAAATAGGCTTTCCTGAACATTTTGATTTTAGGATCTCAAAAAATTCCATTACTACTACTGGTTTTCTTTCCCAGTCCCAAGACATGTAGTTGTGGAAAAAATTGATGCTTGTGATTTAGAAAATGTGTTTTCTCCAGAAGAGGTACTATCATGATGTACTGATGACTGTAAAATTATGGTATCAAAGCTAGTCAAGCCATTTTCAACTCTTTGTATCATATACTTAAAACTTTGAAAATGAGAGTCAGACGTTTTTGAAATGGAGATTGCCATGCAAATAGTGTGTTTGAAGGTATACCTTTCTGAAATTGAATTTTTTCTTTTAGGTGGAAACACTTCACAGTGCCTACAAGAACTTAGATTGTACTCAAAGATCTTATTTTATTGTGAAAAAAGAATCAGGGAAAATGTTGGAAATCTGCACTTTAGCATTCCAACTAAAAAGTATTACCTTGGAGGATAAAGATAACTACTATTTTGTATTTCATAATATATCTAATGACAAAAATGCTGTGGGCTCACCATTTAGAAACTATGTAGCATTTTTGTTGTACTATTGGTAAATATAGGTGTCCCAAAATAACATATCAATTCCTTATATGTATATAGAACACAAAGGAATAATGTCACAAGTTCCTATAAAAAATATCCTACAAAGGGGTTTCTGTTTGAGAATATTGACTTGACCTTGAAAAAACATTAAACCTTGTTGTCAAGGTCACTATCATTTTGCCGCTCGAAACCCTACAACTTCTGTTTGACACTTCTTTCTAGAATGCACGGTTTTAGAAATATTTAGGTGGAATAATTAATATAGCACACCACCAGAGACGGAGTAGCCTTAATTCAAAAATGCTATTTTTTAACATGTATAATAATAGCTTAATGACAATATTCTTGAAAAGCCTGAAGGGAATGTTACATGGTCAATAGTCCCTGACATCCGTCAGTATTTTTCATGGAATGTGATTTTTATTCAGCATTTCGCCAGGACGTAGACACTCACTAACACTGGTGGAATAATTATTAAATGACTGATGGTGCGGACCACACTAAATACTGATCATGTGAGATTTGCCCTACTCTGATTCTGAAGAAAATGTACACATGCTTGACTGACATCGATAAAATTGATCATTTATGAGTAAAGCGCCTAGTTTCGGAGATTGACATGTTATCCTGGAAGACCCTGTATATTTTATTAACCTAATAACGTTGCTTTAAATACTAGCTAGAAAATGTTGTATGATAATAGATTATTATGTTTCAGTGATTTCTTGCAAAACAAGATAGTAAATTTTATTTCCTTCAATTTGTCAAGAACTGGCTCTCAGGTTACATGTAGGAAAAGTATAGTTTATAAGCTCAAATTACCAATGAAGACGAAAGATTTTTATACTAGTTGGGTTGGATGGGAGAAAAATGAAAGAGATAAAATGGGCCCCAAGTTAGCTAACATGAAAAATACGTTAGACCCGTCAGTGTAAGTTAATCTTGATTTATGGCTGAATGTTTTAATGTATGTTAACTGTTATGTAGTATTGCAGAAAATGCAGTTGATTTGAATCTTAAGCTCATGAAATGGAATCTGCTCCCTTCCATCGACCTGGACAATATCAAAAAAACTAAATGCCTACTTCTAGGTGCTGGAACATTGGGTTGTTCTGTTGCAAGGACATTGCTGGTTAGTTTGAATAAATGTAATAATATGATATATTTACAATACATACATGCATTACTTTCATCTTTTCATATACAGTGCTTTTGAAAAGGTCCACACCACCTTTTATTTTGCAAGGCTTATGTTAGTGAGCTGTTATTCGAGATGATAAAATCGGTGCATGGATAACATATATTTTAGCGTAAAAGTGAAAGTTGAAAATTTCTAGATGGCGGCTGGAGGACAATGTTTTTATATGGATTGGGGGGAGGGGGTCCTAGTCATTTTGAAGCTCCTTATAACCCTGGATTATAAGTGTACTATCTTTCACAATGGCGAGCTGCCAAAGTTGAGTGTTTTATTTGTATGTTAAATCGCTTATAACTCAGCAACCAATGGTCAGAACGTTATAGTATGTTATATCAATTCTCTTTTTTAGATAGGGTCTATCTGAATGTGCAAGAAAATATGAGACATTCTGTAAACAAAAGTTACAGAGTTTGACATGGAATGTCTTATGTTTTATTACGTATTCACATCTGCATTATGCATTTTGATGGTTGGTTGCTGAGTTATATACATTTCAGTGTACTATAATGCTCAACCGGACTGCCTGCTAGTCCGCCATTTTGAAAGATACTGAGTTTATATTCCAGGGATATAAATTAGTTTTAACGAATTTCAAAATAAAGTATCACTTGACCGCCAATCAATTAAATTAAACATTATCCAGCTGCCATCTTCAAATGTTCAACTGTCACTCTTATACAAAAATATAGTATTCATGCATCATTTTCATCACGTAAAAGGCAACCTATTCAAAAAAATAAGTTTGGGAGTGAGGAGGGGTGCTTTTTGAAAAGCTGTGTATGATGAATATTAGCATATTCACAATTTTTCAGGGTTGGGGAGTAAGAGACATAACATTTGTGGATAATTCGACAGTGTCTTTCTCAAACCCAGTTAGGCAAAGTCTATTCACATACCAAGACTCCGTCGATATGAAATCAAAGTCAAAAGCGGCGGCAGATAATCTAAAAAATATCTTTCCTGGCGTGGTGAGTTGACTAGGCTTGTATTCGGGTGTCGTGGAAGTTGGAACCTTTCCTTATAGAGCGTGTAGATCAACAAAACACAAATTTACCTCAAAGCCTAGCAAGCATGGCCTTGCATTCTACATGAAAAGCTACGGTCTTGTGGTACGATGTGCATCAGTATCCAAGTCAAGCGCCGCGCGGTGTGTAGCTTAACCTAGTTTATTTACAAATCAATTTGATGTTAGTTTACGCGGAATGTCTTCAGATGCCATTAATACTTTGCGAGTGTATTCAGATCGTTTTCCTGAATGTTTCTCTCCTAAGTCAGGTATGTTTGATTATATCATGCAATTGCTGTCGAGGTGGACACGATAGAAGGATAGACTACCTCGAAAGTTGCATATTTAGGAACGTAAACTTGTGTTTTCGAATCGAATGACAGCTTGAGAGTGTTCACGAGCAAATTTCAAACTTATTTGTTTCGGAAAAGTTGCGACTCTCAGGACACCGTGTATATGCGAGTAACTAAAAACAGTAGTAATTTGAAATTATGTCGTTTATTTTAGAATTCTGTCGGTCATCAGCTGACTATTCCAATGCCAGGACATTCAGTCGGAGAAAGTTTGTTGGAGCAAACCAAAGAGAGCGTTAAGAAGTTAACACAACTCATCAAAGATCATGATGCCATATTTTTACTATTGGACTCCAGGGAAAGTAGGTGGTTGCCTACACTAATAGGCAATGTAGAAAATAAGGTAACTGATGGTTTTATTATCAAGACTGGAAGTTAGAATGATTATGGGATTATTTTATGCAACTAGCATTGCACATTAGTAACACTGGTACATTTCAGAATTAAAAAAAAAACAAGAAGTCGATGACATGTTCATAAACCGCACTCGCAATTGAATCGAAATGAATTTTGTATTTGCAGATTCTTATAAATGCAGCATTAGGGTTTGACAGCTATTTGGTTATGAGACATGGAGTATATAGTCAAAACGATACTATACAAGCTTCAGATCACCCTGAGGGCTGTAAGGTTATTACAGGAAACAATTTGGCATGTTATTTTTGCTGTGATGTTACCGCACCAGGAGACGTAAGTTAATTTGTCAAGGGAGGATGGATTCTATTTTGCATCAGCTTTCATTTGGTGATAGCAGTAATAATCTGAGGGCCGTATCGTCAGTCGTTCCTCGCCTTGGCCTCCTTCATTTTCGTAGTCTTTTTTTCCTTCAAAAAGGCTGAGGTATTTCTATTGTTCAGTGTCAGCGTCAGCGCTCTTCAAGTTATGTTTTCGTTTTGGTTCGTAGGAAATTTCAGACTGATAAAGCAGATGATACAAATCGAAAGCAGGTACAATTTGATGCAATCAGATATTTCTAACATAACCTCAAAATAGAGCGCCTTTTTGAAAGACAGGTGAAACTATGAAAATCAAGGAGGCCATAAAGGCGTCCTACAATTGTAGAAACGACTGACGATACGGCCCTAACAGGATTGATATGAAAATGGAAAAGATGTCAGATGGGCTACCTGTTATATCCAAGGTTGTGTGACGTCAAATATTGTGTTTTAAATAACAGTGAGCTGCTTACTGGTGACGTACTGTAAAATCCGTACGCTGAATAAATAAAAAAATAAAACTTACAGCAACTAACCAAATGTAACCTGCCAATCCTACCTAGAGGGTAATTTTAATGTCGAGTTCATAAATCCACTTAACCTAAGGATGTCACCATTTTCCATATGGTGCCAGGAGGTTCCGTTAAGTTAGGTTTAGTTAAGCTATATTAAGCTCGGTAACATTATTAGATACATACATATATAAATATACTTTATTGTTTTAAAAATACAATAATTATTGGCAAAGCTAGCTTAAAACTAAACTGTAACATAATTACATATGTGGATCTCAAGTAAATGAATTGTAGAACTCAGACGTGGTATAATATAGCTTGCATTTTAGCAAGTTCACGGCGGAATATCTTTGAATGGTTGATTCTTTTGATAGCATCATAGCCTATGTAAATTTTCATACCATTATAAATTATTGAGTCTTTCACAAGTGTTGACTGAAATACTACTAATTCAAGATCTTGTTTCCGTCTAATATCGTAACTAATAATGTTTCAAACTCAGATTCATTTCTAAAAGTGTAATAGCTCTAGGATGCTTTGTGTTATTATTTAATATTTTTGTAGAATAAGCACTTTTTTAAACAATTTTGGGAACAGATACACCAAAAAGGAATGCCAAGATATCTCAATCTACTTCCAAATAAGGCTGTGCTTTGCTCTGCATTGTAACTAATTGTTCTTATAATAACAGAAATCTTCGCTAGTTGAGTTAGACATTGATGTACATGATTAGCAAAATCTAATTTATTGTCAATGGTCAAGACTTAAAAATTTGATGGTGTCTGTTTTGCATTATTTAAATTGATAAAATCAAGGAACTATCTATTTTTGTCTTATTCGCTTCGAAAATCAAGTGATTGGTATCACTCCATTTTTTGATTGATATTACTGATATAAATATCTGCAATAAATAAAATTGTCTATTTTAGTCGCTCAAAGGCAGAACTCTTGATCAGCAATGCACAGTTACAAGACCAGGAGTTTCACAAATAGCTGGGGCACTAGCTGTTGAGTTGCTAATATCCGTGCTTCAGCATAAGCATGGGTAAGTTTTGATTGATATTATTATTGAGTACTACCATGGATTAACATATTTTACTTAAATATAGCCAAGACAGCAGCGGAGAATTATTCTTGGCTATGGATGTGGTGATTGTCCGTAGGCGGTAGACGGTTTCTGGCTGTTGTACGCGGAGGTACCACCCGGTGGATCTCGTAGGCGGTTCCAGAATGCACACATGTTCCCTCGCTATAGTCCGGTGGCGTCCCCCCTTTCCGCTGTATCCCCCTATAGCCCCACGGTACCCCATGGGTGTTTAGGCCTTAGGCGTTCGCGGTAGTTGAAGTATTAAAAAACATAACAGATATCTTCAGGTGGAGTGCGTTATACAATGTCAATTGGAATAGATCACAAAGACTAGAGATAGGGAGATAAACTGTATAGGGGATACATGTATTCCTATGAAGCCAATCCTGTCGCCAAGGATGGTGTGGCTCTCACAAATCTAGTGAATGTAGAACATGGCGCAGAGAGTCTGAGCATTGAAAAATATCAACATAACCTGCCGTAACCTTTATGTGCATTTCACTCATTTGCCATGCTTGGTAGGTTTACTACTTCATGGTTTATTAATATTATCTGATATTTCTGCTTGCAACTCGTCCAAATTGTCAAAATTGGAGTTTTTTACAGTCATGATGCCAGCATCAGAGAGAGATGCCACGTGCGCAGCACCTGAAACTCATTTGATGCGCAGCGTACCAACTTACTTCATTGTCGACATTTTTTGCTTCACCCCCACTCCACGAGTTTGATCTCCTACCTATAGTCTTCATGAAATATATATTAGAGAGGCGTCAACGAGGGATTAAAGACCCTAGCTCCATCTATGAGACATTAGCAAAACCAAACAGTCGAACTCTTTTCAAAGTAGATTTCTAAATAAATGTTTGTGTTCTGATAATGTCTTATAGAGGGCGCTAGGATCTTACAGGTCCATTTTTAAGCACGAGAATATAGAATATGCATAGCTATATACACGTAGAGTATGTTAATCAATGGGTTTTTCCTTCAGTTGGAATACTTTTTAGGTAGAAAACATTTTGTATTATCCTCAATAACAGATTGTGTGAGTTATAATAACTGATATTTTTACTTGTTACAGAGTTCTTGCTCCAGCATACTACAGCACTGCACAGACTGTGCCCATGCAAGAAATGACAGCTAGTGGAGATTCAGTTTTAGGATTAGTACCACATTCTATTAGGGGGTTTCTGTCATCATTTGAACAGATTTTACCAGCTACAGAGAAGTACAAAAATTGCGTGGCTTGTTCAGACCTAGTTATCAACGAGTACAAAGAAAAGCAAATGGAATTTTTACTCAACGTTTTTAATAGTTCTAAGCACTTGGAGGATGTTGCATTGCTGACAGAAATGTTTAAGGACACTGATTTTGAAGAGGTAAGTTATTCTCAATTTTTTTTGTGTATGTATGTATGCAATGTCACAAATATATTTCATCATCGAACTTGCAAATGAAAGTTAGTTATCAAAATTAGCACTACAGAATGATGTTTTATTGTCTTCCTGAAAGGTGTCTAAGAAGATACTCTTACAGTGCTGCTGTCATTTTCTCATATGTGGTATTTTAAATCTTTAGGTGCAATTATATAGTCATTGTGTTTTTCAGGTTTTGGAATTCAGTGATGAGGATTTTAGTGCCTAGAAGTTGATGCTCTGTCAAAACCCACCCTAGGATAGCGTACCCAAAGAATTATTTCCATCTACTTGCAAAATTATGTTTATTGCTAACTGCAACTGAATATATCATAATACACATTATGGCTTCTTCTGTGTTTTGTTGTGAAACAACAAGTTGTATGGTTCAACAGTGTGATGGAAGAGTTTCACTAAGTAGGTAAGAACTCCTACAATCTTCAAGATTATTGCAACTTCAGAAACTTATACTTATTACTCTGATTCAACCTTGCTTCAACTGGTCCATAATTAAAACCATATATTTATTCCTTGTTATGTAGCAACTTTTATATTTATTGTGAATAAAAAATATATTTACATTTGTCAATTTTTGTTTTATTTGTTTGAGTAAAATGCGATTCTATTTGACATTGGTCCTAAGACCAAGGCATGCATATCTCAAAACAGATTTGACTATGAGGTAAGACAGGGTAGATATAAACAAAATCATACATTTAAATATACTGGAATAACGTAATTACTATATTTATGTAGTGTCATTACAAAATGGTGTTTGAAAAATAATTGGGGCTACAACAATTCCCTATGGGCAATTTTGTATGCAAAATAAAAACTTTTAATGGTAGTTTTACTGAAACACTTTAATCCACTCCGATACATCAACTACTTCCGTTCAAGAGATAGCAGCATATACAAGGTGATTCGCAAGTCGTGGCCAAAAGTGAACATCATACACAGGATCGGATTTTAAGGGGGATCTTCTATGTAACATTTTTCCCTCGAGGGATTAATTAAAAACACGGGGGTTAAAGTTTAAGAATAAAAAACGATTTTTTTAATATCTTCAAAACTGTCAACTGGAATGAACTGTATATCATGCAAACTGCTAATATCAGAAAGTTACTTACCCGCATTCCCAAATTTTCTGTATTCTATGGCATCCATAGTATCGCTATACTGTCTTCCAGGTAGATTCAACCATGCCAGGTATCTCTACCTGACAGTCACATCTGGTATATACATTTCAATGGCTAGAGTTTACTGCTGTTACTGTGTGATACACAGAGGCGAATTTAAAATGATGCACTGTCAGTCAACGGGGCCCTCGAAAGCGAGTTATGGGGGTCCCAGCTTAGTTTAGACCAAACTTTTATGTTGCCAAGATCATAATGCTCTTAGTACGCAACTCCGCACACCCTTCAACTTCACTAGTGGAGACCCTGTACCAACTCTGGGCCCCAAAGATTCTAGATACTTCAGTGGTGGAAGATACAGAGCTAACTTAACGAGAAAGTATTCTTGACAGAAAAGAAGACTATCCTTCCTAGTTCGTATGCTATACCGCGCCAAATTTTACACATTTAAATATCAGATGGCGCTTCAGTTAATTCACCTGCCATCTATTGTGTAGTATTTGAATACAAAGTTTATTAAATTAGATATCTACAAGCGTCTCCAATTGACATAACCTCAGACAACTTTAACTTGTTATTAATAGATGCCTCACAATGCACTATTAAGCGTCATCTCTCAAACCTTATTTTGATTAAGCACTTGCACCTACTGTAGAAACCTGTACCTTTTAGGCCTTGACTGATATCATAAATACTTAAGTAAATAGCGAAAAGATGGCGTGTTAGCAAATTGAAGCGCCACCTGACGACTTGTCATTCAAACCATTGCCTTTCCGTTACGCCAGTCATCGGAAAAGTCAATATTCAAAAATGTGTCAACAATCAAAACATATGATTGTGAAGTGCATGAACGAAACCTGTACATTATTTTAATTATTTTCAAGCGTATCGACACTAACTGAATAGATATATGGATTCAGACGAAAAAAGAGCTATAATCAATAAGATAGGAATGTTCATCCCGGGTAAAAATAAGTGGCTCGAGTACAACGCGAAAATGGAAGAATGCTTTGACGACCACCCTGTCGACTTGGAACAACGTAAAGAACTATGCATCGCTTCCCTGGGCGCTAAAACTGTTAAGATACTCAAGGGCATCGTTAAACCACAAAAAATTCAAGATCTAGATTATACAACCATTGTAGACAAACTGGAGGAATATTTCTATCCCACACCAAATCGACAGTATTATTTAACCAAGTTTATGCTGAGAAAACAGCTGAGAGATGAGTCTTTTTCAAATTTGTCTGGCATCTTCGTCAGTTATTGCATCAATGTAGGTTGAGTAAGTATTTAACACCAAATCCAGCCTAATAAAAGCTACTATACAGCAATATACAGTAATGGACAAAAGTATATAGACAAATAATATTGTGCTGTATTTCTTTTTTAACTTGTTTTATTAATACACCAATCTGTATACATAGTTCGTTATAGCATAATACTCACTTATACATAAATAAATTCATTAGACTACCTCAATAGAAAATTAATTAAAAAAAATTGAAATATAAAGGACAAAAATATATAGACAAAGCAAAACAATTATAGAAAAAAGAAGCAAAGTTCATTGAATTATAGAAAACCAACCATGTTTGTGTTAATATTTTGTAGCATAACCATTATTATCAATCATTGCCTGGCATCGTCTCGGCATAGATTGTAGAAGTTTCTTGATATAAGATTCATCAATCTGTCTCCACTTTTGCTCTAATGCAGCAAAAAGTTCATCCTTGTTTGAATAATTTTTATCTCGTATTTGCTTATCTATGTATTCCCATAGATTTTCAATGGGGTTTATATCGGGAGACTATGAATGCCATTTGAGAACTGGTATTTTTTCATCCAGAAAGAATTTCTTTTCGAAGTGTGCTTCGGGTCATTATCTTGCTGGAAGATTGATCTTAAGGACATATTGTCTTCCATATAGGATAACATGACATGCTTTAGTATGTCTGTGTATACAAACTTATCTATAATGTCATCTATTCTATGTAAAGGGCCCATCCCAAACCCCAAAAAGCACCCCCAAACCATAACAGACCCGCCTCCATGTTTGACAGTGGGCAAAGTGTACTTGGGGTTCAATCTTTGTCCACTAGGACATCTAACGTAATGAACACCATCTGATCCAAACATATTGAACTTGGATTCGTCACTGAAACATACCCTCTTCCAGTCACAGATGCTCCAATCAAGATGCAACTGTGCATATTGTAATCGGTCCTTACGGTTTTCCTCGAGATTAGTGGCTTCTTACTTGGGCGACGTGCAAATAACTTCAAATTATTTAATCTTCTACTTATTGTTTTCATAGAAACACTGATAATTTCTTTTGTCTCGCTTTCGGCTTTTATTTGTTTTGTGGTTTTAAACAGATCTTTGGACGAAATTACTTTTATTAATCTAACTGATCTAGCATTTAGTTTTCTAGGCCGACCACTCCTCTTAGAGGCTTCCAAGATACCTTCTGTTTATGTTTGTTTATGTTTGTTCAATATTGCCCAAACTGCTTTACGCTTCAGCTTCAAATTTTTGGCAATATCGACTTGATGTTGACCATCTTTGTATAACTGAATGATTTTAGTTTTCACATCGAAAGAAATTTCTGGACCATGCATCATCAAATCACTCAAATTATTCCACAATACTTGATGAACACAAACTAATCCTCTTCTGATACGAAACTGCACTAAACTAATGTTGAAAAGAATTTGTCTACATATTTTTGTCCTTCATAAAAAAGTGCTTATATTCAGAGTTGTATTGTGTTCATTGCAGATCATGTAAAAACAAGGAATTTAGTCTTTCTACTAATATTCTACTAAAATTCGTTTTCTAAAGGTATTTAGGTAAATATTCATATTTGTCTATAGACTTTTGTCCATTACTGTATTTTGGTAAAAAGGTAGCAACTGACCTCTGTTACCTGTAACAAAACATTGTTAGATTTTACCATTTATTAACATACTTTCCAAAAAAATTCTCAACCCTGTGCAGATACTGTGTGACTACAAAAAATAAAAATTCTAATAATGAGCTTGAATCATGTCACTCAAATAATCCAGTCTCTTCAAACAGAGTAGGACAGAGCAACAATAAGTTGGCTGAACGTGTACCAATAATAAAATATTCAGTTTATTCATTCTCCAGAAAATTGATTTCTACCAAAGTATCTAGTTTGTTATGCTGCATACCAACAGACAATATAACTGTAAGGATGAGTGGTTGGCAGTACCATGGTACAAATAATTATTTTTGCACAGGCATGGCTTTCAATTCAATTGGGTATCTTTTAGTAGAATATGTTAATCAGGGCTGTTACTGTGCAGACATTCAGTATCAGTTTAATAATAATAATAATAATAATAATCTATATTCCAAATTGTACAATGACATTACAAAAATTGTATAGCCACTACAAAATGAAATGTTGCGTCACTATCGCCATAACTGTAGTAGTTTACCTGAGACCTTTTTTTTGTGTTACATGGTTATTTATCTTAAAACAGCTACTATCTTAGTTTAGTACAGCTTCACAAGAAATTCCCTGTATGAGTAGGACATCTTGTAAAGCTATCTCTTATCATTCTTAAATACCTTAGTCATCAGGAGAAAACCCTTTTCTTTAGGGGTCATTAAAATCTATTCAACCCTCATTTACTCCATGTTTCAACAAACAGGAACACTTTGTTGCTGCTCCTATTCTTGTATTGCTGTCTGCCCAGCCATGTATGTCTTGCTAGCCAGTAGGAGCATGTGAATTTGAACATCACATGCTGGTGTTTGTTTTGATGTAAATGAGATTTGAATACATAATAGTACTGAATCTTATGATTTATTTTTTATTAGGTAATGAAGAAGCTCATAAGAACCTTAAAGAACAACTTATTACAAATACCACAGGCATTGTGAAGCTCATGCTTGAGAGTGAACTACAGAAAGAAAAAACTGTACCTACCCTATCAAAAGTCTTCTGTAAGGGCCTTGAAATTGATGATAGGTTTGTTCATGGGATTCGCAAAAGCAGGCGCAACAAGAAAAAACTGAGGAAAAGTAAAGAAAAAAAGTGTTTCAGGTAAGGAAATTGTATCATTGTATTGTATAAAATGAGGTTGCCAGTGATTTTGATACTAGCAAAGACTGGGATATAAACCTCATTTGAAAATGTTTACTTGACGTTTTGCCAACATGAGGGATTGGCATCCTCAGAAGATGTTCACGGTTCAGAGTCCTGTGAGATACTGACTTGCTGAGATCTCCGCCACAGATTAGCGTCCGGAGATTTTTTTCCTAGGGGTTGTTACGTGTTATTAGCCTGACGTCACGAATGTCAGATATCCAGTTGCAGAATGAAGAAATTTGTGTTTATTATTTCTCCAAATGCATTTAGGCCAGATAATTCATTTGTGTTGATGAAACTGTTTCGTGGACACGTGCAAAACATTCCATG